GTTTCCAATTACATTCCTTGGATTAGGAGTATAATGGAAAACAACTGAACCTCAGTATGGACTGTCCTCTCCTGGAAAGCAGTATGCACGTTAGAAACACAAGATTCCAAGTGCAATATTAAAGCTACGATCATTCATAAGAAAGTAAAATAAATATGATCATCCATTTTAAATTGCTATAAATTAACAGTTATTGCCAAGAAACCCAACTGACGATGTGTTACCCTCTGTCTATATGTTCTATGGCTTGCTATGTTTGACAATAGACTTACCCACTTCTGAAATACGTGTCAAAAATCCCAACCTCAACTGTAACTGGACATCTGCATTTCAATCTTATATTAGATTCTACAGTGACTTTTTCTTCAAAGGTTGACTTTCCCAAGATGTTGTGCTTCCAAAAAATGAAGAGAGGCGAATACTTGTCATTTTCTATTAGTTGTCTAAGCCTCTTACCAATTTAATGACACAAACTGAAGAAGTTGTTCCCTGTATATGTCTCATAGGCTGTGAAGTTTTATTAGATATATCCAATAGCATTAAATACACAGGATGGGGGAAAAAAAAAAAGCAAAGACATTTAGTTTGTATTTTCATATTTTTAATTGACATGGAAATCTGTGTGTCAGCAAAAGTACAAATGTTGCATCAAAGATATAAAACAGTGAATAAAAAATAGCCTCACCCTAAAGTTAGTCCATAGTGAAGACAGAAAAATAACTGTCAATCATTATAGCAAGTAATGACAATGCATTTAATGTATTATAAAATTTTCCTGGCCATAGTACCCACCTGTTTCACTGTATAACTTTCATTATGTAACTGTTACACATACATTTTTCGTCTCCAGAAGAAAATGATGTACACAAGCCTGCGGTTATAGGAAGTGAAAGCTTAGACCTTTAGAAATGCTTTCCAGGGAAAGCTTAGCTCACGCTTGCCAAAGTTAAGCACTTGCTAACTCTGAGCACCTGCGTCCACACTGAACCCCTTGCATATCGGCCCAGGAGCAGCCCAGAGGCGCCTGGGGACCCCCGGCTCTGCACAGCGTCCTCTCTGCCTCCCCAGTGTGTGCCGAGTCTACTCCAGGTAACACAGCTGCTTACTGGGCTGAGATTTGTCTAGCCCACTTTCTGCAGTGCAGAGGTCCACTCCCAAGCATGCCAAGCTGCGTGTCATTTAGTTTAGACTGTCTTTTTAATTTTTGTACGCATGTACATACAAAAGGGATGAGATGCATCGAGGAGTTCTTTTTTTTTCTCCCATAGACTTAGAGGGAGATGGAACTATAAAACAAAGTTAGGTTGCAGGGTGATTTTTAAGGCTTCTACACCTGGAGCCTGACTCTGGGAGAAGCAATGATCTCAGGGCATTGCCTTCCTGAGCAGGAGCAGCTCTTATAAAGCATTCCCCACCCACCTCTCTGGTTGGAGGGATTCACTGGGCACAAATACCCTTCTGCATATTTTCTGTATCTGTTAATTTGGATCATTAAGTCAGCCAAGAAATCTGCATATTACTTCCCTAACAACAGATATTCTGTGTTGCAGCTTGGTTTTTGATTTGTGAAGCTCTTCAAATGTGAACTTTTGCAGGCATGGTTAATACCTGGCTTGTAGGCAGACAAACCCACCTCTGTTGTCCTTTGCAAAGCCACCAGGAATGTCTAGATGTAAAACCTGAGCAGCTACAGAAGTCCCACCTCACAACCTCTTAAAGCATGTAAATTGTGATCTTTTCCTTCTGCAAGAGTGTCAATGGCATTAAAAATTGCCACTTACCACTATCCACTCACACAGACTATATGAAATAACAAGGCAAATTTGGTGGCAGCGGCACATTTGGAGAAAATAGCACATTCACTTGTTTGTTGGTCTGGGGAATGTCTTTGCAGGCAGGCAGAACGCAGCTCCTGGGTCACTGTGGTCATGATGAACATGCCTCTTTGGCAGCAGTGAGGTGATCCTTTGTCTGCTATGCACATCACATCTTTCACTGAGCCTCTGAAGTATAACACATGTGGGACAACTAAAGCTGGCGGTGTTTGGTCCCTCCTGAAGAGGTGCCTCTCACTGAGGTGGGTCACAACAGCCCTTTTAGTGACAACCCATGTAGTTTAAGAGAACTCTGCTCTGCTGCCTGAGAAGTTTGTAGGACTTTCCCATAAGGCTCAATGTATTAAGCAGTTCAAGGCACATAACAATTTATAATAACTCTTTTTAAACAAGCCACCTGTCCAATGGTCTGCATGACCCCGGCTGGTTTCCCCCAGGGTCCTCGCTCGCTGAAGCTCTCCCTCTGTTTCCACCACCTCATCTGTCCTCTCTCACCCACAACAGTGCAACCCCACAGTCATCAAACCGCTGGTCGTACAACAGGTTACTGCCCACTTCAGAACCTTCATGAAGCAACCCAAACTCTCCCAGAGACAGGAGGATTTCCTGCCTTACAAAATCCCTGTGTTAGGGGTAAGAGTTAGCACAGGAGCCATCATCAAATACAAACTCTACCTGAAGTTGTTAAGTACTGCTATATTAGAAGTCAGAAAATATACACAGGCTTTTTCCTGCTGTCCTTTACATAATGAATTTTTAGAAAATAAATACATCCAAACTTCTGACACTGCTCCTAGCCATTTTACATGCTGAAATATTTCACTTATATTCTCTTCTGAGCAACATACGATGTTATGCAAAACAAAGAATAGTCTGAAAGGCCAGAAACAAGCCGTCATGTCTCTCACTTCTCAGCACCTTTTAGTTGTCCACAAACAGCAGCAGCTGGCAAATAATATTGACATTTCTTTGCCAAGCCATAGCTTAGACAAAATCCACAGTCCTCAGACTGCTGTGGTGTTTAAGAAACCGATTTAAAAGCTTAAAATTCACAAAGAAGAAACATTAGAAGGAAGCGGGAGGCTCAGTTCATAGAGCATCGCACCTGATTGCCTCACCCTGGCTCTCGGAGGGCCGTGCCAGCAGTGCAGGCTGAGCGGGTGCGAGGAAGGCAGGGCTGAGCTCTGCAGCCAGGCACTCGTGCTCCCACTCTGCGCTGAGACACGGCACCCAGCCAGTGCAAGCCCACAGCTTCCAGTTCAGGGCTGGTCCCTGCCAGCCAGCCCCAGGGAGTTTATAGCTATCTGCAGAAGACTGAGTTGGTATAGGAGGAGTTTTCTCCCTGCAGCAGTAGCTCCAGTTTTGGGTTGTCTTCTAGATATGACCAATTAGGTGGATATATTATGAGAAGCTCATTTAGCTTCATATCTTTCAATCATTACTAACTTTTGCTACACATCCCATTGACCTTTAACTATTCCTCAGAGGAAGTTAGAAACAGCCTTGAAAGACAGCCCTTTATCTCTAACTGCTCAAAGTATGCAAACATTACACTGAGATTACTAGTAAAGGTCCTGCTTTCCTCTGGCAGTGTTGGTGGCATGGGCAATTGCCAGGAAAAGGCAGGGAGAGTCGGGAACTATTGAAATGTACAGTATACTCCTCACTAGGAAATCCCCCTGTGCGGGCACCTGCCTATACATGCTTTAAAGATGGCAAAACTGGAGCAGTAGTCATTTGGCTGCACCAACTGTAATGTTAGCACTACTCATGAAAGTATGAACCTTCAAAACTCAGTCCTATATTTGCTTTTGCCAAATATGTTATTTTCTGAGCTAATAAGACCATTACAAGAGCTCATTGGCTTTCTTTTGTTTATTTAATTCTCTTTTGGTAACGGGATACCTTTTGAATACCACCTCTTCGGAAGTCCTTCACTGTAAGGAGTGTATCGTTTACCTGTCAGTGGCCAGGACCCAATGCTTGATGAAGGTCATAGAGCTGAAAGGGAAGCCAGGCTGTCCCTGCTACCTGCCTGCAGAGCCACAGGTTCAATCTCTTCTGCTACATGTCAGCTTGAAACAACCAGGATCAGTTAAGACTCCCCTCCATAAGCAAAGCTCTTGTCTCATCCCTGCACGTCTTCCCAAGACAGCTTAACATTCCTGTCAACAGCCCAAAAAATTTATGCCCAAGAAAGAAAGATGACAAATAATAATAATGGATAGAAGACAGAAATTGGGGGTCATCTTGGCAGTGGTCAGGGGAAGAGAATTTTGTTTGTAGCCATGGAGAGAGCACGTTTTAGAAGATCAGCTCTTGAAAGAGAGGGTTTGAAAAGCACCCGATAGGGGAGAGCAGATAGAAGCTCTTCCCTCAGGAGACATGGGGGGGGGGAGGTCCCTGGCCAGGGGACAGGACAATGGGGTGGCACATGAACCCCAGCTGGGTCTGGGGGGAGATGCTGATGGGCAGCAGAATGATCTGACCTACAGAGCTAATGCTGTGTAGGATGTGACACCTACATAAAGCCCTGGGAAGCAGAGAAGGAGGACTGCTGACACATTTCAGAAAGCCCTCAAACAAGGAGGGAAGCAGGGCTTTTGTGGCAGAGCCTCCCTGGGGGAGAGGAGCAGACCAGGGAGAGGGTCTCCTGAAGCATGCCTCTCTGACCAGAGAAAGGATTGCCCTGATCAGCATCCTCATTCCCAACTCATCAGATGTTCTGTTTGTCCAGATTCTCCAGGGACAAAGGAGAACTCGTTGAAACACTCGTCCTCTCTTCCCCAAAGTCATCCAAATCTTAAACAAGCAGCACCGTTTTCAACCCTCCACACCCAAATGTGTATGCTAACAATAGAAATAAAGAGATATATAAAGAAATAAATAAGAGCTCACTGAGCTGGATAATGCATCTTTTTTAAGCTGTTCTGTTCTCTACCAAGAACCACAGAGTGCTCCCTTCCTGCAAACAACATACTCAGAAAAAATGAATTTATTCCATATTTATAGAAGAATACACCGCTTGTTTTAAATGTCCTTATGCCTAGAAAAGGAACACGGAGTTTAATCCATACTCTGCAGCAAATTTTGAAGCAGTGGCAGGTGGAGAACAAATTCCCAGTATGGGAACACGATTCTTTGCTCAGTGCTGTCCTTTGAAGGTCAAATATAAGAGTTGGTGTCCCGGTGTTTCCATTTCTTGACACATTTACCAAAATGACTGAAGAAACAAATGAGGAGAGGGGTATAAGGGTGAAAGAAATAGGAAAAGATCTACTCCAAGTTGTAGTCCAAGCTGCAATACTGAAACATTTACTTTCTGCATAGAAAAATCTCCTCTTTCTTTAGTTTGAGCATTGAAGTGGACAAAAGTTGTTGATGTAATATCCAAAGCCACTGTTTGAAACATTCATGTATAGCACTAACTCCTCAAGAAAGTTACTGCCAAGCAAGCCAAGGTGTAAATGCTTCCTGGAGGTCTGCAGTGCAGTGAAGAGTCTGGCTTGTCCTGTGCCAGGAGTGGGAAAGCTGTGCCTGTAACTCTTCAGCTGTAAACTCATCCTGTACGTGACTTTTCAATGACTTCACAAATTGTGGAAACGCTCCCATGATCAAGGGCCCTTCCTCACCACATGCTTTGATTGAGGTAATGGCTGATTTTCTTGAGCAGAGAGTTGCAGGTTATACCTTGCAGCATCTCTCTTGCACACCACTACTTTCTGCTTCTAGAGGTCCACAAAACAACTTTGTGTCTCTATGAAAAAAATACAGATTCTATCCCCATGCTTTTTTTTTTAACAACCTGCCTTAGTGCTATTGAAAAGTTCACATTCCTATTGAGGAAAATACCACCTGCTCATAACATCAACCTGACTGGGAAATTTACTTTGACACTTGAAAGAAAATCAATAATTTATGACAGCTGACAAGGTTGGAGGAGAACACCCTCAGGAAACCTCATCCAAGTAAACCTAAGAAAATGCATATCATACCTTGAAAGCTGCTCCACGTCCTCCACTGTCTCTGGTAAGGAGATCCCCTTTGTCTCTGGTAAAAGCAATACTAGGACCCCGCAGACAACTGCGAGAATACCTACAATGGACATTGAAAAAGCAATAAGAAAACTGTTACTTTTTGTATTTGGGGGGTTTATCCACTGAGGAAACTTTATTCGGATTAAGATTAAAGTGAGATTTTTAAAGTGCAACAGCTATTTCTGATTACTTACTCTTATCAAACACCTTTATGCTACATTAATTTAACTTATTACAAAAAAAACCTTGAGGGCTAGGGGTTGATTTGCAGGCCGAATTGCCCCAAAACGGAGCTCTTGGAGGTCAAAAACCTGAGATAAGTGCACATGGGCAAGTGCATACAAACTGCACTTGAACGAGGATGGTATATCTCACATAAGACAAATCTGCCTTTGTTCAGGGGACTCTATCACATAGATGCATCTGTGTTTCTTGAGACCACTGAGATTTTCCTGAAATACTCTCTTTGTTTATCCATGGCCAAAGTAGATCATGTGTTTCTGAATGAAAATTCATCCTTGGGAAAGAGCATTCAGACAGAAAGCCAATCTGAAATAGTTCATCAAGAATGGTTATTTTGGAATAATTTCCTGCACAGATATAATTCAAATAATGTCATAAGTCAAAAATAGAAAGGCTGAAGCAAAAAGTAAAATCCCTGACTGTTGCACAGTCCTCTCTGTTCCTCTCTGATTCTGTAGCTGTTTACTGAATTCTGCAGCAGCAGAATTTCAGAATTAGATGATGTGAACAGTAACACTATATACACCTATTCTTGGAATAATGGTAATTTTTTTAAAATATCTCTTGTCTTTCCATTTTTGTTTTCAAGCTAAAATTTTAATTAGCATCCATTTCCCTTCTTATTCTATCCTATCCCTTTTGCTTTTTTCCCAGTTACATGTACCTCCTGGAAGTCTGGTTTAGCCAGACTCCCGCTTTCTTGTTAGAAATAACTAATTATTTTTTTTTCCACAGAGTTAATACACAGGGCTCATTTTTTTCCAAAATGCAACTGCAGAAAAGAGTTTGACAGGAATAAGTTGTTATGGTTAATACAACATCCATAGACATTACTGTTTATACCAAAAAAACCAAAATTTTTTAAAGGCTATTACCCTCAGCTGTTGGGAGATTAACCTTATTTCTTTGTAATTGCAGAACTTAGATGCAAGGTTTCTCAGTCTTAAAGCACCTCACATAGTTTCTTTCATGTTCCTTCAGCCAAGTCACCCAAACAGACCTGAGCTTTTCCATCATGTCGTGAAATCATTCACATTTCACCCGTTTGCCATCCAGCTTCTTGCTCTAGGCATGAAGATTGAGAGGGGCTGGTTTAAGGGGGAGATGAGGCCACACACTACACTTTTGCTCCAAAAGAAAAGTTCTGTTAGAAGGAGGATGTTTAAACTGAAAGTACATTTTAAATCAAATCTTACTGAAAATAATTAGAGGTAGCTCCAACCAAATGGATGCTAATCGGTAAAGAAGGAATGGGGCTATGATCCCACCGAAGTCACACAAACTCGAGCACAGGGAAACACCAAAGTTTCTGCAAAAGAAAAATAGTGCCAGATATTTGAGAGGTGCTACCAAACAGATGAATCAGCAGTGTAAGGAGCAGAATGTAGACTCAGCTCCAAAATTATCTCGTCAGAATATACCATCCACGTTGAGCAGTGGCTATTCAGTTAGAAAACTCTGGAGAAAACCAAGTTTACTAAAAAGTGGTGAAACGGGGAATAAGGAAAAGCAGAGGGAAAGGTTGAAAGATTCCTGGGAGCTTTTGACGTACCTCAACGTCGTAGGGTACAGTTCAGTGTTCACAAGATAGACGATTTCAAAAGCCATCGTGATGGCCAGTCTTCCCAGTGTGGCAACTGTAGTTTTGAGCCATGGGATATCTGTTCATTCAAGAAGAAACCCAGGTGAAGCGTGCTTTGCTGTGCCAGCAGAGCATTTCTGAGAGCCCCAGGCGCTGTCAGCAGAAGCTACGTCACAGAAACACTGGATCAGTACAAATCAGACTGAAAAGCCACTGCTGTAGATATCAATCTATACAGGCATTTATTGCTTTCCAGCGTCGTGGGAGGCTGCTTTCAAGAATCAGAAATCCCTTCCAATCAATTGATTCAGGATTCTGATGGGGCATTACAGCACGGGTGGGGGAATGAATGTTACAACTTCCAGGACCACGTCCAAATTGTGCTCTCGAAAGGAGCATTTATTTATATAGGGATGTTTTGCTGTAAGGAACACCATTGAGTCACCTCCCAAAGCCTTCTGACCACAAAGAAGCTGCCTTTAAAGATGCATCTGCAGCAACAGTAAAATAATTCTCCCTAGAATAGGCCAACTACACTTCATAATTTGTCTAGCCATTGCACATTGGACATGCTCCTAATAATGCTACTCCTGGCCATCCTTGGTGCTTGTCTTTCTACCTGGCCCAAATGACCCAGGGGCTTTAGGCTGCCCCGGTGGCTCTGCCCAGCTCTCCCAGCTCTGCTCAAGCCCTGCTGCCCAGCCACTGCCCTGTACACATCAGCGAGGAGCCCTTATACATTGGCAGGGGGTGTGATGGTCACATCTGCACCGCAGAGCAGAGCCATCCTGTCTCGCAGTGCGCAACCCCTCAGCACTCCGACTGCCCTCTCTGGAGGGCCAGTGGCCTCTGGAGGAGCATCACAAGGAATGCAATAAACACTTCTGCAATGCTCTTGGGAGAGGACAGTCGCCTGTATGGTCTAACTGTGACCATGCAGACGGGGAAGTGAGTGAAACAACAAGCCTGAACCTGGCACAAAGGGGGCCTCTGCCACTGGAGACAGCTCTGGCATTGATTGTGTTTTCTCAAAACTTCAATAAGAAGAACAAGAAAACATTTCAGCTTGCTCTGAACCAAAAAATGAGATGCTTGGGTTTATATCCCTTCCAAAACAACCAAACAAACTGCCATCAAATTTCAGCTCATGTTGCGAGACTCTGCCTTTGCCCTGAAAAGTTCTGTTTTCAAGCATTTGTAAGAAAAGCAAAGGCTGGAAAGAACAAAACAAATCCACATTGCCTCCCTGGCACCCCTTCAGTCCATCAGACCCCTGAGGTGAAGGTGACGTCTGTACACCTCCTCCCTCTGCCAGGGGACTTGAACTGTGTGAGTACCTCAGTGTTAATGAGTGCTCACAAGCTGCTGCTGCAGCTATTCCCATCTGTATAAACAAAAATTGAGTCATTCTTGAAAGCAGGAATCGCACCTCAGGTGTCCCATCTGTGAGTATATAATCTCTATGCTGTCCTCTCCTCGCCCAGGCAATGCCCCCTCAGCACTTCACCACTACTGAGAGCAGGCCGGTGACAGCACCCTGGTGGCCCCAGGCCACCGCTTTCTCCCTTTGCTCAAGTCATACCAGCCCTACATTATGCTCCTGCTCTTACCCCAGACCTGCTATATTGTGCTCAGCATATGGCGTGTCCCAAAATACATGAAGGTGCTAAAGGCAGGTGTCCTGCAGGAGTAATTGCCCAGTGCTGCTCTTTGTTTCCTCATCCTGCAACAGCCCTAGCTCCAGGCCATCAACAGTCCCCAGTCCCTGCTCTCCCAGTAGGTCCCTTGTACTTTTTTAACAGATGGAGAAAGATGCCAGGAAAGTCAGCAGGCAACATGGTGACTGGGCCCTCTGCCTGAATTGCCATGCCCTGTATTGGGGTAGCTGCCACAGGAGCACAGGGCAGCTGGCATCTGCTAAACACGTGGTGGCTCTTCTGAGAGGCACACAGCAGTGGGGACCCAGGGAAAATCTGCTGGGACAGCAGAGTTAGTCTTCATGGGCTTCTGTGGTCAAACTGATGAATACAAACAAGTCACACAGCCACCAGTGCATGCACCCGGAACAGGCTGTTGATCTTCCCTCTCCATTTCTCTCTCCTATTGTTTCTGCTTCTATTAAAGCAGTGAAGCTCCTCAAGCATACAGTATTAATTTTAGGTACTTTTGGAGGAATCCCATTAAAGGGAGCTTAACTGAGATAGAGGTGAACTAACACACCTCTTTGAAGGATTTCATTTTGCACTCACCACAAACCTGCCTGTTTTCATGGGCACATCATACTCTTTAAGTCCCTTCTCATGGCTTTTCTCTAGGAAAACGGTTGGCCCATGATATAACTTAGGGAACTAGAACCTCTAAGGCTGGCCAGGACTGTGCCTTAGTTTGACAGGAACAACCCTGGGGAGGAATAAGCTTCTCTAATGCCTGTTCAGCTGCTGGTCCTCAGCTATGCTAAGGCAAAGCATGCTGATGTGGTAACATTCACTTCAGAGCACCTCCAAATGCTTTCCTGGGGATAAAAAAAAAAAAATACACGGAAGGGAAAACAATTTAAAGAAAAGATAGGAGTGCTGGGAAGCCTATGTGCAATACCAGACCTTTTAATCGTCCTTGAAACCAGATAAGAATGACTTAATCAAAAGCCATACCTTTCGTCCAACCCCTTAACATTGTCCAAACCCCTGGGAGGGTGAGGGCAGGGCAACACTGTCCAGCTTGTCTGCCACAGCCCCTACATCGTGTCATGGTTTTCAACCTTTTATTTGTAAATGAGAAGCTACCCCAACTAAATCACTATTCCTTATATCATTGAATGTCTTCCAAGTCAGGGAATGTATTTTCCCTTTATGTTTGTATACTCTTCCCTTGCATTTGCCTTCAAAAAAAGTACCAGGCCTTTATACACATTTTTTCTAAGACTGTGCCCATCTGTTGTTCACCCCCCATCAAAGACACGACCATTAGATGTCCCAGGGCAATCTATAAGCAAATAAGGTATGTTGTTCCATGGCTGTGGTGCTGCTTGCATCACCAGACACTTTTTATTTTTATCTACAGTTTTGTGTGGTCTGCTGTCCTTGCTTAAGCAGTGTCAGAGAGAGTCGTCCTTGACCTAAAGAGCCTGGCATTGGGAAGACAATTAATTACCTTCCGGCAAGAAGGCAGTAATGAGGCATGCAATTCCTGCCACAATGTTGCTTATTCCAAAGGGAAGGCGCCGGCCAATGCGATCAATTGTCACTAAAATTAGGAGAGCAGCAGGCAGCTCCACAGCTCCTGAGATGAAGAATTCTAGGTAGAGGTTTCCTGCAACAATTCCGAGGCGCATGATAAGCCCTTGGTAGACCAGGGCACTTGTGAACCTAAAAAGGAAAGGGAAAAAAAAGGCTGAGAGGCAAACAGATGACTACAAGCAGGTGGAAAGACCTTAAAAGTCACAAGGGATTTTTTCTTCAAAATCCCCCACGCTGGTAACAAGCTGGACTGACATGGGCACTCACCAGGCATACATCAGGATGAGCGTGTTCCTCCTCATCTGGGGAGTCCTCACCAGGTCGAGAAAGGAGGGGTTGCTGACCTCCTCATTGCTAATAGTGATCTGAGGAAAAAAGTAAGCAGTAGAGTCAGCTGTTTCTGTGTAAACATGGTGCTCAGCAATATTCCCGTGAGCAAAGGCGCTGATGAGCCAGCTTGCTGCTTTTAGCACCCCAGAGCAGCGCACAGATATGGGAAATAACTTCTAGCCGTTATCCCACAGCTGTGGGATTTCTTTTGTGATGATTGTGCAAAAATCAGGAAAAAAATCCCCAGTCTTGACTTGAGAGTGGAAAAATTATTTCCTCACTGTTAAATGAGAGAGGTTGACCTGGAATTTCTTGGAATGCAGTAAGCAGTTGTTGTCATGTCAGGGTCACTGGGAGCAGAGTTGCCTTCTGCCAGAGATGACAGAGAGAAGGAGACTGAGGCAAGAAGGGCAAAGTGATGGGCTGTGGGAAGCAGGGAGAGAGGAGGTGAGCAGCAAGCAATGGACTAGGGAATACAGCAGGTGGCACAGCTGGGCAGCAGGAAGAAAAGAGGAGATCTGTGAAGGTGTTTGGGTGCTACAAAACATTCAACAGGTGAAATTCAGAGGGTCTTAAAATACACAAGCACTGTGCTGAACATTGCTTTTAACCTGGAAGAAAAAAATCCTGCAAAGTATGAGTTAATGGTCCTCACACTGCTTACAAAATATAGAAATTCTGTTCACAGCTTCCTCCAATACAGTCACAATAACGCACTCAATTAAATTGTTAGTTAGAAGGTTCACCAATAACAGAAAAGGGCAGGATTTCACACAGCCTGTGTTTACACATTGCCATAGGATATTGTGGAGCCAGCATATTATCAGGGCCAAAAAAGAAGATTAGGCACATTGATGGAAGCTGTTTTTAAATGCAGCCAGCAGTTTTTAATGGTGATGCCCAAGCCAGGTGTCAGTCCTTTTGTTCATATGTTCATTTAGCTGGTGAGGAAGATGACGAAGAGAAGGCAGAGGTGGTTTTAGGCAGCGACAACCCATGAGACTGCCCAAGAACTGGCAGCAGCAGCGGCTGGGATTGCCATCAGCTCTCAAAGCAGCTCTGGGAAACATGAGGTTAAACCTGCTGCACACTTTTTACGAGGATTTCAGTCAGTCTGGCTGCTTTGATTCTCAGTTATTGACCCCCTTCTGAGAGCAGGCCTAAGAGAGCAAAGAGAGGAGTAAATCCCTCTCTCGACTACAGCACCGCTGCCCACGTGAGTGCAGTAACCCAAGGAACTGATCCCAGCTGGCAGGGAGACAAAGGTGGGAGGATGGAGAAGCAGGTAGGAACATTCAGATCCTTGATGGGTAAAGTCAAAGGCATTGCCAGAGGGTACTGTCTGCCCAGCCAGGGCTATGCCCAAAGCTTTTGCCCTGTATTTTGTTTTTCATAGCATAAGGTAGCACAGATGTTTTTCAGTGAGATTTGGCTGGATGCATTTACTCATGACTTCTTCATAAGTGAGTGACACAAAACTTTGTAAGTGAACAGAGAAACCCCATGTTTGTTTGAACTTCCTTTCTACTCCCTCTTGCTTTTCTTCTGTAACTAGAGCCAGAAATTTTCTTCGAAACGCTGCCACTTCTGCTGCGTGCCAGAGCCCTTTGTGGGGCAGGCGGAGGTTGCTGGGTTTCTGCCCTGCTCTTAGACTCTCTCATATTATGGTTATAAAGCTGCCATGACTGTGTTTATAAGAGCAGGCTGCCAGCCATCAGTTGTGACTTTGTGCAAATAAGGTTTTCGTTTTCCAAAGGACTAAAGATAAATTCAGCATGGCTGCTACCATATATTTTTATGTCTTAATAAAGTCATAATAACCTCAAGCATGACTTAGCGTTTTTTTATGGATGAAAAAAACATCACTGTGGAAAGTCACCTCTTTGTAAGGAAAAAAGCCCTCTTTTTGTTCTTTGAAGTCAAGGAGAGCTTTGCTATTCACATCAGTACAGTCAGGAATTCAATGACAAAGCCCATGTTTCCAAAGATACACTATATGAAAACTCTGGAGGAAGTTTTGTAACAAACTTCCCTGGCATTTTTATGTCCCAGCAAATCACATACCAGTTCCTGTGCAATAATTTTCAAAGATTTCTCATAACATAGGCATATAATTCTGCACTTGCTTAATTCTGCACATAGTACATTCATGCATGTCTATAATACTTATGTATGTAAGTTCATATATAACAGAAATATATATGTTCATATATGTCTGTATAGTAGAAATATATATAAAGAGAGAAGGGGTTTTGGTCCACAGCACTCTCAAGAAGTAGCTCTTAACTCAGCTGAGTTAAGATGCAGTCCATTCTGCTTTTGGACAGAGACCAAGAATGAATAAATTAGCTTGGAAAAAAAAAAAAAAGCATGCTAGGATAATTACAAGCAACTGGAAAAAAAAAAAACAAACAGTTTATAATTTACAATTAATTTAATGAGGTCTGGACAGAGCTGAACTGTACCAGTGTTGTAACTAACAGAGCAAAAGCAGCAAATGTTTATCTGTTTTCATAAAAAGGTCATCTGTGGTTTCTGCATGCCAATAAAAATGCAAGGCTGCTACATCCAGAACCATGTAAGGGACTTGGCCAATGAAATTGTTACAGACATATTGGAAAAAATCTTAGCCAAAATGCATTGATGAATAATGCCTCTCTCTTCTCCCTGTCCCTCCACACCTGATGTACTTTGCAGGAGTCGCTTTGTGAAAGAGAATTCTGACATGAGTTAATGTGAGAAATACACTTGATCCACAACTAATGCGTTTCCTGGAGATGCTCTCTCTCTTCTGGGCACAGCACCAAGGATGACAGACATTGTGTATTAAAAAGGTCCCAGGAACAGATCCAGCACAAATCTGTATGTGTAGAGGTTAATCTGCTGCAGCTGTGGGTGGCTTAGGGTTACGAGCAGGGACACTTCTGAAAAAAATTAAATATAACTTAAAACAAAAAGAAGGGAAAGGCACACATCTCCATTCTGTTGTGACACTTTGAAGATGCTGAGGTTTAGAGAGGAGAGGTGGATGTAGGAATGCAGGGCTGAATGTGGAGGGGGAGCTGCAGCAGCACAACCTTCCCACTATGTGCCTTGGGCCACACTAGGCACTGGGTAATGCTGACCAAGATGGGGGAATCTCACTGGTGTATATGTCCCAGCCAAGGACAATAAATGTATTTGCCCTTTTCTCTCACCTTAGTCACTCTTTTCAGTTTGTTTCTCTCCCACCAGTTTCAGTCTGCAGTCCTCCAGTTGCACAAGACTCCAGTTGCTACTCCAACGTGACTAGAGAAGTTCATTCTGCATTGTGGGACAGCGGAGGGTGATTTCCTAACCTTGGCTGGTATTACAGAGATGCCTTGGCTTCCATCAGAAAAATGGTTCACTAATTGCTGGCCTAGCTCATTACTGCTCATCAAAACTCCTTCTGTCATGTTGCTTCACTAATGTACAACAGTCTCATCTGGTATATCCCATTTCTTGGCCAAGGAAGTTAAATATAACTTTTTCCCCTGAGAAACCCCTCTCCCCATCATTGACCTTTGTGTGCTCCCCTGGGCAACATAATATTCATAGAAACGCCATTATAGCAACGTTATGGCACTTGAACAAGTTGCTTATGAATAAAGCAGCTGGCTGTGGAAACATGTATTTCAGCATAGTCACCTCTGCTGATAGGTCTAGTTTTGACTTTACAAAATCGTTAGTCCCAAGTCATATATATATATATATCCTCAGAGGCATAGTATAGGTTAGGGGCCACTTCTCTGTGGAACCTGTTGTGTGAACTTTAACTTGTCACGACTGTCATTAGTTGTCATTAGCATACACTAAATGAAGTGGAAAGATAATGGTATATTGGTATATATCAAGTATATAAATATATCAAATATCGGTATAAATCAAATGGCCATTTCTATACTTCTTCTGTTGCCGCATACCTCTTTCTGTGTGCACTTACTGCAAGGTCTGTATCTATGACAGGAATGGTCCTGAGTAAGCAGAGCTGCTTAGGCTGCGTGGATGATTTATGGAGCCTGTTTCTCACCAGGTAAATAAAATCCTAGGCATTTGGGAACATCTATTGGGTGTTTCAGAAGAGTGCCAATAATTACTGCTTGGGTTTCATCCAGAACTATACTCTAGGATTTCGGTGAAGCAACCCCACTTTTTTGGATAAGGTGGGCTAAATTCTCAGGTCTCTGTTGCTTAAGAAGAGCAATGAGAAAGACCTAGGTAAGATACTAAGCTGTGGGAACCCAGGTTGCCAACTACCTGTTACAAAGCACACACATCCCTTCCTGACAGGATGGAACACGTCAGTCTTCTCCAAATACTGCCATCCCAAAGCCTTTGCCTTTAAGCCGCAGTGAAAATTTAATTAAAGGTCCCACATGATAATTTTGTATACGTATAAAAATGAATGTATACGCATATGCATGTATGTAAGGCATAAAGGATACCACTGTGTACTGACAGATGGACATTTTGTGTAGGTTATTTCTTTTCAATAAGAAAATCACTATTTCTTTATGAAATACTCATAGTGTGTTCAGTATGCCACCTCTGAGCTGCTGTGTGCTAACAATTTGCAGGTGTTTTCCTTAGTTCAAATAATGATTTCTAACATTACTATAGCTAGCATTTAGGCTCCAGACCTGGTTTGTTACAGAACAGGAACCTTGTCCACGTCTATTGTCGTCACTGAACCATAAGGCCAATGCCACAGTAAACATGGTCTGAGAGACAGGCAGTGCTACGCAGCACAGAACAAGGCAAACGCTGCAGTGACACGACAGTGTCATTTGAAATGCGTCAGTCCTTTCAGTTCCATCAAGACCACTTGTCAAAGGACGGTAATTCTAACAAATATTGTCCTATTTGTAAATAGTTATCTCAGACCGTGCTTCCCCTATGTTGAATTTTGGGGCATATTTTCCCCCTATTGGGTTGGAAGCAAATTTATACTTACATTTCAATTTTCTACATAATCTGCTCTTTGAGTAGTAAAAGGAAGTTCTAACAAAGGAGCCAGGGAAGTGGATCCTGCTCTCCCCACTCACTCTGTCAGCTCAAACGGCAGCTACTCTGAAGTACCATTGGCCCTCAGGCTAGTTTCTGATATTTCCCACAAGTTTTTAAAGTAGGAGTGTGGCAAATTAAAGACCTGATTCATTGTTTTGCAAACTTCTTTTTTCAGCCCATGTCTTTCCAGCCAGTTCACTTTTACCCTCTTGCAATTAACAAAGTAGGTATGGGACTGAGAATCTTGCTCTGGTGTGACACTTCAAGGCTGTTGCCCATCACATAAAGAGAATGCATTTTAACACAATTGAACCTTCAAAAGATTAAGAAAGTTTAGAAAAAAACACTAGCTCAAGCAGATGACAGTACCTCTGAGTAATGTGGTGAGAGGTATTTCCCATTGTGTTTTGCAATGTTGTGCATGATTTTTAATGCCTTCTCTCCCTTTTTGCGTGTCAGGAGCCAACGTGGAGATTCAGGAACCACCCTGTAAGAATACAGAAGTCATAAATAGGGGGGGTTGCCCTTTAACGTCATAAGCAAACTAAAGTGCTTTGCCTTTTGCCTGTGTTCATACACAACACACTGTTTTTTCAGTCTTTGGGATACAGGAACTCTTTTGTGGGCTGCTTTTCCAGTCAGTCTCCTGTAAAATATCTGACCCTTGTGGGCAAGAAAGAAGGAAATACACTATATCAATACTCTGCAAAGCTGAAAAATGGGAAAACTGACTATTGTATTTGCACAATGGATGTCAAATATATGATAACCAACAAGCAAACAAGGGAACTCTAGAACAGCAAGGAACAACGGAAGTTGACATTAAACACATGTAGTACCAAGTACAGACAGATCAGGAAACTTCTAACTGTGTCATTATAAGATAGACACACACACACACTCAGATGTATATGTATTTTATAAACTGAAAACAAAGAAGAACTGACTGCTGTTTCAGTTTCTGCTAGCCTAGGGTTAAGATGATTCACAATTTAGAAGTTCACAACAGGCAATGTTTAAGGAAACAATGTGCAAGAAGAGGGTATGTGGATTAGTTTCTTCGGATCCAGCCCACAGGATGGCTGCACTCCACTGGGACAGATGTTCACCACAGTATAGTGCTCTGCTTTCTCATTAGCTGTACTGCCCAACTTATAGGACTTGTAGAGCAAATTCAGGCTTGAACTGAGTACGTAATTAGAGGACCCCACCTTTACCTCTAATTACGCAGTCAGTAAGCAGAGCAGGGTTCTGTGAAGGGCCAGCTGTGGCTGATGAGAGAGGCAAACCCTGGGCAGAAAAAGGAAAGTAACATAGCCTGTGATCCACTAAAAAGAATTGATAAAGTCAAAATCAACAATATGCAAATATCTTCTTCCTAACATCTTGCACATTGGAGACTTCTGTCCACAGCAGGAGTCTCAAGGTGCTTGAATAGCAATAGCAATAATGACAAGAGCAATGACTGCAACGTTACCAGTAGTACAGCAGGAAGAGGAAGTTGGGCAGTGAAATGGCCAGCTGGATCCCCTGCCAGGTGGGAACCAAGTACGCAATTCCAGGGAGGATCATAATTCCCAGGGTGAAGAATATCTGAATCACGATCCCAACGATCCGCTGGTCAGAACCAACAATCTCCGTCACTGAGCAAAGAGAAAGCCAAAATAAACAATACAGAAACATCTCTAACTAAAAAGAAAAATATTAGTGGTGGAACATAAGGAAGGATAGTACTGTATCAGGTCACAAGTCTGCCTAGCCCAACATCTTGCCTTCAGCAGTGTAAGCATGTCACCGAGGCTGTCCAGGGGAAGCACGGGTGATGCTGCCTCATTAATTCACCCCCTGTTCTTCATCGAGAAGTTTCTAACTGCATGTTTACTAATGAATAAATAAGGCCAGAACAGGGTTTTGAGACTGCATCATGATCATGCTTAGTGGTAAATTGTTAGCACTCTCCCTGGCAGAGTTTTGGCCTGTGCCCCAGACTAGAGAATCCTCCAGGCAGGGGCTGCTCTCAGCTGGTAATATGGACAAGGAGTCTATGGGGAAGAGGGTTTAGCCATACTGTGCTGGTTGCTCTGAAGCCTAAGGTATGGTCCACAGGTTTTTTTATTTACTAGAACAAACGTAGCCTTTTGTTTTGGGTTTTTTTTTAATCCTTTGGTGTTTTTTTTTTTACTTTGTGAATGTGTCTAATCACTTCTGAAACCCATGAAAACCCATATTTCAGGCAATATCCCATGGCCATGAGATCCATAGTTGACATAAGCAATGCATGAAGAAATGTCTCTTGTTTCTTTCAAAACTGTCACCACTACTTAGCCTTCAGAGTAAAAGCAGAGGGTTTTACCCTGGTTTATAATACACAGAAAACACTTTCTTTTTATTATTTTACTAAAAGAGACACAATTTTACAAGTAACAGTAATTGTTTTCAGCTGGCAATGCAGAGGGATATGATACCATTACTATTTTTATTGACTATTTGTCACGTCTGCGTGGCTCAGGGGCCTAAAGTCAGGCAGTCTGATCTGAGCATTGCAAAACATTCCTTTCTGTTAAAACTTGACCATTTTAAGGAAGCCATGGGTCTGTCACAAAACACTTTGTTGGTGTTACAGCACTTGCCAAAGTTTTAGGATAAGATCTCGGTTTAAAATTAGGCCGTGTGCTTGGAAGTGAGGGGAAAAGCAGCTTCTGGCCCTTTCACTGGATCTTGGACCTGAGCTGCTCAGCAGTGTAACTTTGTCCAGACAACTGAGGTGCTTCTGGGTTTTAGATGCTGAGAGGGCTCGATAGGTATGTTTGCACATATGTCACCACAGTGTTCCCAGGTCTCACTGTAACTGTTTACATCTGGTTCAAATTCTGCTCTCACTCATCTAAATTCCACTGGGAATTTAAAAAAAACTGTCACAGGCCTCACAGACTACAGTGATGGTACAAACTTTTTGCACTATATAATGATGTTATCACTGTATTTTGGATTATCACAATAGATTAGAGAATGGTTGATTTTCTTTTTGATTAAATCTGACATCTCATCTCTAGTAGGATGTTTCCTCAATGTCGTGCTATTTCATGCTGTAGAGAGGAATTTCCCTTTCTGAACCTGGCAGTCATTCAAGATGCCACAACAATACCATTTTCTCATGAAAAGTAAGCTGGCTACGCGAAGACCTTCATCGCTGGGCCATGACTACAACCTATCAAAGAGTCTGAATCCCTGTTCTTTTGATGCTATTTATAAAAAAGCTTCCCTTCCTTTTCCCTTTTCAGGAAATAATAATCCTAATATTGACCCTGGTGTCCAGCCTGCCACTAAGCAAAGCCTCCCAGCTAAAGAACGAAGAGCAGCCATCCAAGTGTCTGTCCTCCCAGTGAGGAAAAGCAATTACCTCCTCTGAGCATCTGCAAAAGACATTCAGACTCCACCAAAATTAACTGTGTCCCTCTTTGTGTTTATCTGGGGCTTGCTGTGTATATTTTGATCATCTTGGTGATCTTCTATGTAATAAGAAAACTTTTATATACACATTCCACTCCTCCACCTCTTAATTATTTATGTTAATCCTTCCCCATTGGAGTCCATAAATTAGACAGCCATAAAAGGCCTCGGATAACATCAACAGAAAGTGTTGCACTGCTACTGAATTGCCTATGGCCAGCTGCTCTCAGGCATATTTGAGTAGCGCAGTGAAGGGTACAAAAGGAGAGCCTGGACAGTCCTGAAAGACACGTCACTCTTGTTAGTCTTCCCTCATGCATTACTTCTTCCTCTCTCTTCTCTGTGGGATCCTAGGAGGTCAGGTAGGCATGTACACAGATGCTCATTTCCATCCTCTATCAGTACTGAATATCAGAAAGAGTTTGCACTTGCTGCCATTCTTAGAGGCTACCACTGTACCAGTAAATTAGCAGACATTGCCAGGTAAGGAAAGCTGTTAGAAAGGTCCCTAGCAGGTTCTGGACAAAGGCCAGTGCCTGCTTCCCTAAACATTCAGTTCAGGCATGCGCCTAGACCATGGATGATGCCAAGTTACAATTTGCATGTAGGCATCTTGTCTCAGAGGACAAATACATTAACTAGGATGGACTTGGGTTATTCATTCTCTGCTGACCCCAGGGCCAGTGCTTTTTTCCCCAGAAAAAAAATATTATCAAGAGGAGATGTAGCCAGACTCCTCATCCTCCAAAAATCCCTCGCTTTTCCTAATCAGAAAAGAAAGAAGATCACAGCTCTCACCAATCACGTAGCATGTCATCCAGGTTCCCTTGCCAAATACGCCTTGGAGAAAACGGAAGATCAAAAATACAGTAAAGTTTGGTGCGAATGCCACTATGATACCACATATCCCAACCCCGAGACAGGAGAGCAGGTAGATGAGGATTCTGCCATATCTGTTGAAAAAGAAAAAGAAAGTGAAAATCATTAAAATCCACAACTGCCCAGCCAGACACTGAGCAGAGATATCCCAAGTTAGCTAGTGCCACGGCATCTTTCTGCCTTACTTTTTCCCTTATTACTATATCCCTTGGAAAGATGAGGTTTTCCTTGAAAGTAGTTTTGTTTGCTAGTTCAAAATTTGTTGTCTGAGAAGACATTCCAGATAATTCTGTAAGTATTCCTGCCAACAAAGAAATCGTACTTTAAATTATTATTACAATTATTACAGATACCAAAGAAAAATAAAGCAGGCGGGCAGAAAGAATTTTATGAACTGAAGAATTATGCTCTGCCATTGAAATCATCAGTGGTGCTGTCAGCCAACGCACAGGTTGACTACTATTAATTATCAGCACAAAGCACAAACCAGGTTCCCTCCTGTACTCTAAGAGCAAGGCAGAGCTTACGGGAGCTTGCCGCTCTGGGGCAGGTCAGCTGCTCAAGCCTGAATATCACCCACATCTTTTCCTTGGTATTCATCCAGCTCTAACACAGTTGAGGACTGGCTGGAGAGAGCTGTGACCTTGGTTGTAAGTGCATGAGTTCAGCCTGTGACTGGAGAGAGCTGACATACTGACTCCCTTCCTTCTTTCCTGGAGTAGCTGCTTTCTTCATCAATGACGCCTATTAAACATCCTCCAGTAAACATCAGTCCGTAAAACTCCTCTGAATGCTTCCTTTTTATTTCTGTGTCCTTCTGCCCTTCCTGGGTCCAGATGTGCACAGAAAACATCGGAAACCGCAAGAAAAGCTCTTTTCATGACATTTTAACATCTGAACAGGATCAGTAAGTATTATTGCGTGAAGTTTCCAGCCCAAAAGGAAGCGAAGATTACCGTGGGTTTTTAGCCCAGGCTGGGGATGTTTATCCAAAGTGAATTAAACCTTCAAATTGTTGACGCATTCTTCTTGCAGTTGACACTACAAGTGATTTCACTTCCAAAAAAAATCAAAGGACAGCAGCGCTTATACAGTACCTGTCTGCAGCGTAGCCCAGGGTGAACGCACCGGTCAGAAACCCCAGGTTGAGGATAGCCTGTGAGAGATCCAACATCCAGACACTGCCGCACACAAGGTTATACTGCGGGAACAAGGGAGAGGCATAAACACCCCAGGTGGGTCATTCATCATCTTCAGGGCAAAACGTCATAGAAACTGCATAGGGCCAGGCAGGAAGGGGAAGGGGAAGGGAAGCAGGAAGGGCAATGGGAAGTTCACATGTGTTTGTTCAACAACAAGCGCCGCTGGGCCAAGGAAGCGCAGCCATAGCAAGCACTCTTCAAGCTATCGTGAAGACAGAGGGAGAGCTCCTCCTTGCCAAAAGGATGCTGTGTTTCATACATCAGTTGTCCAGATATGGAAAGCAAATTGCTCTTTGCGAACCAAACACAACGCCGTTAAATATGTTGCCAAGGCAAAGCCATGACTTTGTTTAGTGCAGAATAAGGGTGTGCAGCTATCGCCAATGAAAACACCAGTTTATGGAAATGGTTTAATTCTTTTTCTAAGTGCCTTCTAGAGAAAAGCAAAACCATGTGGTCTCTGAGAAACTGAAAACAGATAAACGGATCTCAGATCAATTTCAGACACAGTGAATATGTATTTTCTTGGTGTAGCTTTCCCAGACTTTTCTATTCCTTATATTGCAGTAGCTACTGCAGTAGCTATAACTATAACATTGGTGCATATCTGAAGAATTCATTAACAGGGTTGGGGATGGGGCTAGGGACAGGCAGGGGTGAAGGGAAGAGGGAAGTGGGTGAGAATAAGAAAGACAAAGAGACTAGGAATTAAAACTAAAATGAAACTAAAAATTAAGTAGTTATCCAGACAGCATGTCATTGGAAATTACTTCAGAGTTTCTTTGAGAATAACGAAAAAACAACTGCTGCCTGCCAAGTTCTGCAGACCTTATGGGAGCCAGGACTTTTCAGTCTATACCTGGGGCAACCTTAGGAACAACACAGCTTCAGGACCAAGGGAAGCCACAGACAATAGCAGCTGCCACCATTTACCCTAGCGAGGCCCTTTTGCTTTCAAGCATGAGCTATCAGAAATCTTTTTATTGCCAACATGGTGCTGGTTGCTGAACCACACACAACGTGTCACGTTTGTGCTCACCAGCACACGTACCACAATACCAGTGCTCAAACACTGTACTTGGACAGGGTGGCCACAGGGTGGGTTAGAGGGAAGATTAACAGCCTCTTCTGCTGCTCACAATTCTCCAGACTCTGAAATTTCATGCCATGAGCCTGAGCTCCATCTTAGCCCATTTGCCTGCTGTAACGTCCAGCAAGCATTGCCTGGGCCTGGGGTTTCAGAGGTGTGACGCAGGAGATACAGAGGGCACCCAGACTTGGATTTCACTGAGCCCAAATCTGGACCCAAAGATCTAAAGTAAACTCTTACATGTTTATTTATGTACCTAAATAAGAAACATTTTCTTTTGATATTCTGAACTCCACACAGGTGCCGGTCACATTCATTTCTATGGGCTGTTCTTCAATTTTTAAAATTAAACTCCTCAGTTTGGATTCCAGATGCGCTATTAGCACTGTCACTGACAGTAACTACAGCAATATCATTGTTGTTAGTCATGATGATTTTACTGGAAGACCAGGATTTGGGGGGGGGGTTGTGGCTTTTTGTTTCTCTTGAAGCCATAGGTCTGGGAGATTTGTGACTGAGAACTGCAGTTTCCAGCTCTCACAAGTGCAAAGAAAAACTTGGCTAGTAACTTCATAGGTCCCCAGCCTGACACATATCCCACCCCCACTGACTTTAAACAAAGCCATGGTTTTGATGTCAACCCCATTACTCCAGGGAGCCTGACTGGCCACCTTTCAGCCAAGCCAGGCAGCCAACATCTGGCTTCCACTTCTGTAAATCTTGAGCAGGAGCTACAGAAACCTCAGCTTCCTCTGAGAGAAACAAAACTTGGTCTCAGCTGTCATACTCAAAGGCTATAGCAATGCTTTCCTAAAATAGCCTGAACAAGAAGCAGCACTTTCAGATTTTAAACACTGCTTAACCTCTTGTTTCTTAAAACTATGACAACCCCGGCAAATAGCATCAAAAGATGCAGCTGTGGAAAGCAGAGTTTTTCATGAGAATGAGCATTAAAAGATTTTAGAAGGCAATACAATTGACTGTGCTGATGGCAGAGGTTGGGGCTCTCAGAGGAACATCTGAAGCCACAGGACAATACAGCTTACCAGAGGACTAAATAACAGCGACAAGAAAATATCGGCTTCAAAATTGCGCTGCTGTAGTCTAACAGAAAAGGAAATAATCACATGAAGAGGTAGACAGAGAGGGCAAGCAGGAAGAGTGGCTTCACATGAGCTCAAGGAAATTTCTCTGACTTAGCCAGAGCTGTACTGAGCTAGACACTTCACAGGACACATGTCTGGTGCAGGTTCCCCAGTCAGGGCCCACGCTGGACATGCTGGCACTGCCATGTATGCAGCAAGGGGATCATCTGGACAGCTGCTGGACTTGTATGTGCATGGACAGGTATACACATTGCCTGGTCGGTGGGTCACTGGCATGGTTCCTCTGGCCAGCTTGGCCTGCGCTTCAGGTGCAGGTGGTACATTCAGGTACTGAATGTTGCTGCTCAGCTGAACTTTTGCACCATCCAACAACAGCTCTCCTGGGACATCAAAGCACAGGTCTTTCACTCTTCTTGCCTGTCTCACCACATAACTGCACTCTCCCCTGTGGGTTTTTGGTCAGACCAGTACCAGCAGGAGAGACCTTGTGCTCTGCCATGCAGGTGACAGCTCTAGTGAGACCTCAGCACCCAACACCATGGACTATTTTACAAAATGCTGTCATTTCATGCCCTTTCCTATTGGTGGCTTCAGAGCTGGCTGTGGTGCGTTGGCTTTCCCCAGCCACCTTTCCGGGCTCTCCGAGGGGGCTGTGCTGACTACAGGCTGTTCTGGGCCATGAAAACTCTCTTGTCTTTTCCTGTGGGAGACTCTGGGGGCTGAGCACAGCCTGGGTGGAAAGTCAGCATTTGGGAGCTGCTCCAGTGACTTTGCTCAATGCTTGCAAATGGAGAGTGAACTGCTGCCTAGGGTTACTCCTGCTGTTGCCCACACCTCCTAGAATAATGAAATACTTTAGGTAGGAAGGGACCTCTGGATCCCTCTGATCCAAACACCCACTCACAGCTGGACCTGCTTTGAGCTTACATCCAAATTCACATCAAAGCTCATTGTTCCAGGCCTTGTCCAGTCAGGCTGTCAACATCTCACAGGGTGGAGGCTTCACAGCATCCCTGGGCATCATTGACCTTCCAGAGTCTCATCTCTGGTGGGGTTTTTAACTACCCTCTGCTCTTACCAGGCTGGGGGCATTTCCCCGCTCATATTATTCCTGGTGTCATGTCCTTTTCAAAAATTGTTTACAGCGATGGAACGTAGCAGAGGCCAGCTTCAACCTGCATCTGTGCTCCAGCTCTGAACACTGTTTAACATGAGCCTTTGCACAATTATATTCTGCTTCCAGCAGATGCTTGTGGAGTCACCCTGGGAGCACCATTCCCCAGAGGCACAGAAAGAAGCCCTCACACCTCTCTGCTAGCAGTCCCCAGGAATAACAGAGAGACCTGAACCATGCTCTGCAGAGTGAGTTGTCTCCCAGGGAAGATTAAGATGGCTCAGCACCTCATGAGCTCCTTGAAAGATCAAAAACTTGGAGAGAAATACCAGGCAGGGAGGGCTTCATAAGGGACCAGGTTTTAGAGCCCTTCACTGAATTTCCCAAGTCAGAGAGCAAAACATCCTCCAACACTTGCAATTGCTCCTGACAGAGATGGCCATGAGAGAGGACTCCCCCTCATAAACCAAAACAGCTGAGGAGAGAACAGGGAAGGGAGTGAGAGTGCTATTGCCTGTCCAGAAACAGAAATAAATTAGCATGAGAACAAAATTAAAAGGTGCATGTAATAACAAAACCGTTAAAGCAATGTCAGAATGAGATGATGCTTACATAGACATAAAATGCATAAATAAAAACATTGCAGGTCCCTTAAAATCCACTCACCCCTAATTTCAGTTGTTGATTTCAGAGACCAAGCCCCAGATTTCTAACACCTCTAAACTGCATTGGGATTACAGCTCTCCCCAAGCGGACACACCAAGTTTCCCAAGACCCAGGGAACTATCCCGGCAGGTCAAGTGACAGCAAAGGGAGCACCATCGTCAGCAGTGCCAGGTGGGCGGCTGCCCCCCGGGAGAAGCAGCATGCTTCCCACCCTGCTGTGGGATGGTGTCAGCCCAGCACCCTCAGCACATGACAGAGCTGTTCTCCCGGGAAAGGCATCTGCCCTTCGAGGAGCAAAGGAAAGCTACAAAGGTAGCTGAGGAGCTCAGCTCCCGGGGTAGTGGTGGGTGGCTGTGCCGGGCAGCGCTGGAGCCATGCCCGGGCAAGCAGCCAGAGCCGCCAGGAGGGATCAGCCCCAGCACCCACTGCAGCCACTGGCCCTCAAGGTTTAGACTTTTTGATCCTTTTTTTCAAAGGCTATATTTATTTTTTGAATAATTTGATCCCTCTTTATTGTAAACAGGTAATGAATAAGCTGTGATGAAAGAGGGCAGGAGAATGAATATGTGCCAGAAAGAGAGAAAGAAAACTATCTTTACAGGAGAAAATTCTTTTATCTGAACAGCAATTTCAGATGATTTAGGCAGCAGCTGAAGCTAGCTCTTGTCTAACAATATAGTAAAATATTTTAAATATTCTGGGAAATAGGAAAATACAGAAAACTTCTGAGAAACTGTGACCTCTTTCTGAAGAGATTAGTAACAATAGCTAACTGTACCCTCCTAAATTAGTCCTGCGCTTTGTTATTTTCTAAGTATTTAAATAACTTCTGGTACAGATAAGCATTCTCAGACCTTTTCTGTTTGATTGACATAGAACCTAGCATTTAAGTCATCACCCTGCTAATGTCTTGCTTTTCGTTTGCAAACATAACCTTTAGAGGGGAATGTAACCTTTAAAAGAGAATTGCACGCCCTGGAGAGATCTTTTTTTGATCCAAGCCTCCTGTCAGACCCATATCAC